GGCGTCATCCTAGCTCACAGCAACCTCAAACTCCTGGGCTCAAGCGATCCTCCTGCCTCAGCCTCCCGAGTAGCTGGGACTACAGGCATGAGCCAATGCCCGGCTAATTTTTTCTATATATTTTTGTTGCCCGACTCATTTCTTTCCATTTTTTTTAGTAGAGATGGGTCTTGCTCTTGCTCAGGCTGGTCTCGAACTCCTGACCTTGAGTGATCTTCCAGCCTTGGCCTCCCAGAGTGCTAGGATTACAGGCATGAGCCACCAAACCTGGCCAGTATTTTTAATTTCTAATCAACGTATATCAGTAAGACCTAATGTTAAAGGCGAAACCAATGGTAAATAAGTCATAGTGTTTGTTCTCCAAAATTAGAAAAACATGTATATATCTGTACACCTATAGAATTTAGAACTAGACTATAAAATAAAGATTCTAGTTTTACATTAAAACTTTTAAAAAGACTATTACCTGAAAAATTTTTTGCACAGATGAAATAAAAGTGTCCAACACATCAGGGTTTAGAAAATCTTCTTTGGTAGCAATTCGTCCATTCAAATAGTAGCTAAATTATGCAGAAAATATTCAGGGGAAAAAAAGGACAAACTTTACTTTCTGTTTTTATGTTAACTGCTGACGTTGTTCTTCCTACCTCTCCCACCTGCCTATTATTAAAAAAAAGGCAGAAATTCTATCAAGGAAAGACCAATATGGAAGGGCGATATGAGGAAGAGTCCATTCTATCTGAAGAACTAGAAATCAGTTACTCTGTCTTGAGAAGACACAGTTAAGAGAGTAGGTATCCACTGGTTACCCGTGCTTTGGCAAGCAACTGGCTTTAGCTACTTGTAAGTTCCATGGGTTAATTGGCAGGATACCTTGATCTTTATGTTAATAGAAACCACTGCATTATTTAAAAAAACTTAAAGTTTTTGTTTTATCAATATGAAAATTCTACAGTGCTTCTTGAGACACCATTTGTTTCTTATTTGTACTATAGAGCCAGTTAAATGGAAATAAGTTTTTGAAAACTAGGTAATAAATAAAGCTAGCATTACTTCCCTAGTATTAAGAATAGAAGACATACTTACTGATGCCACGTAACTGAATCAATCACTTCTCCCCCAGCCTCCAGGAAACTAGAAAAAAAATTCTATTATGTTATCATTTAATCATCATATGCAATACACACACACACAAACACACACACACAAATATACGCATGAGGATTTTATTCCCTAGAAATAGTCTGGTTACTGCTTTAGGATCAGGGAAACACTAACTTCCTAATTCTGATAACAAATTTTATCATAGATGCCATTTGCCTCAGAAACCTTGATGTAATGAACTAATCAATATTTCTTCTTTCGGTAAACCGTGTAGTCAGGCAGAAAATTGTTTAGTAACATGTGGACTATTGAGGATGCTTCACCAGAGGGGAATGTTTACTTTTAAGAAGTGGTTCAGTATCTTTTAGCTCCTACCTCTTCAGCATCTTAACAGTCTTTCCTCGAGGCTGACCGACATCAGGACCATAGAGTTTTGCATGTTTGTAAGTGGACTTTCTTAGAAGTTTATGCAATTCAATAAAATCTTCTCCTAACTGTAATCCGTCGATGAAAATACCAGCCTTCTTTCGGAAACTGTTAGGTTCTGGAAGACAGCAATTCTCAGAATAATATCCACCTAGAAATGTTTTGTCTAAAAGCAAACAGACGGCAGCATCTAAAAACAGCAGAACATTTTCCAAATTATAAAAACTTAGAATTCAAAGTCAAGAAAAGTAAAACCCTTAGTTATAAAGAAAGTATTCCAGAAAAACCAAAATTTAAACTAAACTGTATAACTGATGTGTGAGAAGGTATAACAATTTAAAGTTAATAATGTGGCCAGGTGTGGTGGCTCAC